AAGATAGATGTTTTACTCTATACGCTAACCCTCTTCATCATTTCTTGTCTCACACCTGTTATGCTTTTTTTCTGCTCTTTCATTTCATCTATCTTTGTTCCATAGAAAGTTGATGAAACACTATCCCATATAGGGTGGAGACAGACCATGATTGATTAGATGTAATCTTTAAACTCTAACCATACTTTGGGTCTTGATCCCTTCCTCCTGGGAAATTTGCTAAAATTCTTAACCATACAATGACAACGAAAGAAACCAGCTTGATGATTTTTATATTGATCTAATTTACTAGCAAATAATAGAATAATAGATTACAAAACAAATTAGAAACATGCATGACACTTGGAGAGTTAGCATTGGAATAGAACAATCAAATCTTTTCCTGTAATTGAGAAAAGAGAATCAGATTTTTAGGTTACCTGCATAAAGACTCTATGAAGGAAAGAGACTAGACTTTCGAGAGTCATGTGATCCGTAGCATATGAATCAACAATCCAAATATGGTTGGGATTCACAATAAAGACAGCTTTAAAAATTGTCTTTATGGACTATGGAGCAAGAGAGGGATTGAGACTCAACATGTTTGTATAATTGGTCTAGTTTTTAGAAAAAAAAATATGAAGATTATTTCTCTTGGTTAGAAGTACTACCTCGAAATGCACAACCCTCTAACTGTTCCAACATTTTTCACAATTATGCCTAGGTGTTTGCAATGGTGGCCCCATGGCTTACCAGATTTTATGCCATCTCACTTCACCCTTCATTGTTGTTTCTACGTTCTAGCAGCAAGAGCAAAACCTTCTACTTTTGTGATAGGGGTAGACTTACTCATCACGACTCAATTAAACAGCTATGGGAAGATCACAATTAGGGCAGAACTTGAAAGCAAACTAAAATGTCCATATTGCACATCCAACTGTCCTCGTAGAAGAGGTCCAACTCCTGCAAAGTCGTTATTTCTTTGTAGTAAGTAGCCATCCTGTTTTGCATGCCATAAATCCGATAGTAATTTTGACTTTAGAATATAAGAGTATGTGTCTTTTCCAGCTTCCGAATCTTCTTTCATTGTAGGCAAGAACATGAAGGGATTTCCAATTGTTGATTCCATACAATTAATTAACCAGATAATGATCAGGAGTAACATGGTTTGTCTCTTGCCGTCCTGGCTTTCCAATTTAGCACATATTCTATAAGAAACCCATATTCCCTTTGCTTTCAAAAATTAGCCTAACAATTTGAGACTAATATGTGTAGTTTTATCTACTGAGTCATCACTGATCATTAATTTGGAGTGAGTTGGAGAAACCAACAAAGACCTGGGAAATTGAATTTTGGTTCTGGGTGTGCTGCCTGCACCGGCTGTGCTGCAGCCTCGCCTCCCGGCTCCCATACTTCCATCAGTCATTGTTGAGTCTTCAGTGCAGCCTCGGTCGCTGTGTTTGTGCTGTTGGAAGCGCCAGTAAGAGCATGCTTCAACAAGTTTGTGCATGTCGTGAGTGAATAGGGAGGGAAACCCTTGTTCGGTGAACCTAGGACTGCTGAAACCATGTAGAAAGTAATGGAAATATGTCTAACTAGGCACTAGAATAGAATTATTACATTAAAGTCTAATCCTAGGATCAAGGAATTAGGATCAAGGAATGATAGGAGAAAAAAATAATGGAAATCGTATCGCCGATTTCACTTATCAAGGAGATATGAAATATCTCCTAGTTTTCCTATGGAATAATCAAAAGAGAACACATCACTTTCAAACAATGAATAGCATAGAAGAACAGATCATTTCCGAACAATGAATAGCATAGGTGAACGGCCTATCATAAATAAAGCATCGCCTTTCAAAGTCTACCTTCAAAACCACAATTCCAACTAAAGTTATCATTGCATCCATCATTTCCACCTTCTCCATTAGCTTCATTGTGCTGCAAAATCAAGAATCAAAGAAAATATCAAGTTTTAATATACAATTCAAAATTGGAGGAAAAATTTGGAGGATCTACCTTGAAGTTGTATGAAACAAGATCACGCAAACTGAATCCATCATGTGCAATAACAAAATTAATACCATGGTATGGTCTGCGCTTGTTCACCTGAGACAAACAGATGAAGGCGAGAAGCCACTGTCATATAAAATTATTTACAAAGCAGAATAGAGCCCAGCGAAAATCAACAATAAATTTCAGACACATTAATAGAATGGGGCATTGATGATTCACATTTTGCATCATGAATTTCAGTAAGACTTTAAAGTCTGATTGCCTCTTTAAAAGAATGTATAAGAAATTTAACATCAAAAAGTAATTGCATATTTATGGTAGATATGTTGGATAAACTAGAGTTAACAATAATTTAGACTAGCTTAATCAAATATTGTAGCCCCGCAAGTTAAACTTCAAGGTTGTTAGAAGCGTAAAAAGCCATTCCCAAACCTTCATCGAATACCTTAAAGAGTAGGTCTTTGATGGTGTAAGTACTATAAAAATAGCAACCATGAAGTGTTATAAGCAGTGGCACTTACTCTGTAAAGATCAGAAGATCCAGAAACACGAGTTGCAAAGCTCCCCTTGGTACCAGAATCACCCTAGGACATGTATTAAAGGAGACAATGAAGTAGGAATAAAACAAACAAGGCATAAGTCAAATCCCAGCTCATTATAAAATCAGTTTTTCATAAGTTTCATACTCCCCATACAGCAATATTGATAAGAATGACAATTGATTTGTCTCATCCTTTTACTTGCAGGTCATCCATCTTATGCAAATCATACTACACCTTAGCCAGCCAATAGAAAGACAATTTGGATCATATTAGTATTTTCTACTCTTAGAATTACCTTGATAAATTTCCGTACGTCATCACGATATTTCCCATTCCATTCAGCCCATCTACATCAAAGACATACATTAAATTCTTCATAGATATACTAATATCCAAGAAATGCATCCATAAAACAATATTTCTGACATTCTAGACAGAATCACATAGGTGCGGTTCAGAAAATGACATTAACTCTTGGCACGGCGGTATATCACATGATGCAAAGTAAAAAGTATTGTTGAGTCTCACATTGAATGAGATATGGCCTGAAAATGGGTATATAAGTGGGAGACATCCTCTACTTTCATTTTGGTTTTGTAAGTTTGCATTAGGCCCAACCCAAATTTTAAGATAGTATAAGAGCCGCTTTGATCAGGCAGTAAAGTTTATCAACTTTCATTATGTGTAGGATTATAATGAAGACTATTCAAAAAAATGAACATAATTATTTTAAAGATCATTAAAAGAATTACCGATCCCAATTTGGAAAACTTCCAACAAGATAGAGACCACCACAGTCCCAAGGCTCTGCAATAATTTTACATCTGGACAAGACTGCATCTTTAGCAATTGCCTGCAGAGAATAACATCACATCGCTTGATAAAAAATTCAAATTCCAGATTCCCAAATTTAAAGCAGAAAGAGAGCACTGCAACTCAAAGGCTTGTCTTCAAATCAAAAAACTTATAGGAATGTTTATTATTAAGATGAAATCAAACCAACAAAAACTGGTAAAAAAAATTAAACTAAATTAAATTCAGGTTTTGCTTGGCTTTCATTTTTATTGAATTGCTAAGCTCATTTTGGTTTGCGATTTCTAAACCATTCATTTACTAAGTATGGCATTGGATATTTACCTCATGTGGAGTTCTTCCTACCTATGTAGGATTGGAGGGTTAGTTGAGAATGAATTGCTATGGACTGGAATTGTTCTCTTTTGGTCAGTTAATGGTGATTAAGTTATATGGAGCTCAAATCCAGAACACTTATTCAGAATTTATTCCTCAGATATTTTTAAGAGACTTGTTTTCTATCCTTTAATTGGTTTCATCTAATGAGCATTTGAAAAAGAGTTTATTTTGTAAGTAAATAAAAAAATATATGTTCTTCAGCGTAACATTCTTGTGATGATGAGGAGGGATTTGAAGTTCATGTTGGTCTGGAAGTCAGGCTGGCAGGCTGTGTGGCAAAGCGGATCAACTGGTTTCTGTTTTTTGCACGACTGCAACAACAGGCAAATCTGCAGCAAGTTTTAATAACTGTATTTCTATGCTTTCACAATAGTAAAGTTATAAGGACTGATTCGGCTTCAATCTAAAAACATTGAACCCAGTGCCCTAACTGAGTGAATCAAGTTTAGCTATTTGAAAACCCAAAAAATAATTTATTTTTGAAATCAGACCATTATATCTGACATGAATGTCCGGAAAAAATCCAACATTGTTTTCAGATGATTTGAGATCCCAAATAACAGGAACCATACTGATGAACTCACATACAAAGTGTTCCTGAAAGTGGCATCTTAGCTCACTGATATTATAACTATATTGTGGATATAGTAGTATTTATTTACCCTGATGAGTGGAGGAGCATTGAGGGGTGAACCATCAGTTCCTCGACACAATATACTTGCAAGGTCAAATCGAAATCCATCTACATGATACTCAGTGACCCTACAATAAAGAAAAACAAAACACAATAATACTCGCACAGTTAGGAACACCAAAGAAAATCATGATATTGGTTAGTTTTGATATTTTAGTATTTCCAGTGGCGTCACAACTCAATTATTTATTATTATCTTTAAAAAAAAAACATTAAAGACAATCAAACATTACTGGACCCTCACGGAAATTAACCAGCCTTTATGATTACAGACAGAGTATAACTGATTCACAGAAACATGAATTTTAACGATGTAGAGTGCTTCATAATATCTACAAGTGCCAAGTCTATATGGTACATGTTGAATTTGTGATTATATGTACAAGATGAGAGAAAAATATTATGGATAACAGCTATTGACTTGAAACAAAAGACTCAATACTAATTCTTATTTATAGGATACATAGACTCGATCTTAAATCAAGAACAAATCATGATAATAATAACTAATATCAATCTGATACTAAGAGATACAATCTAAATAGGAATACAGTCCTTTTATAATTCCAAAATATACTAAAAAATCAATTATATATCAATGTCTCAACAATACATATCATCAAAAAAAAATATATGATGCAAATATACAAACAAACAAGGAAAAGCATTTGGTCAATTCCCCAAAAATAACAAGTAGTCCATACCAATGTCTTAGGCTGTCAAGAATTAGCTCCATGACCACAGGATGGTTACAATTCAATGTATTTCCTGAGGATGAACATTCTGAGTGAGAGAAGAGAACTTAAATACTGATACAATATGTTGGAAAATATTTTATTATCTTATTTTATTGTATCCGTTTATTCTCTTTTATTTTCCTTTATTCTCCATTAAGGAGAGAATTAATTATCATTATTGTATGACCATTATATAAACCAGCCTAGAGCTGAGGAATAAAAACACAACAGCTTTTTATCATATTCCTTTCAATACGATATACTGAATCTGGGATGGAGGTAAGTCAAATTTAAATCAAATGTTGCTCATTAAATATTCTCTGTAGAGAAAAAAAAGCACAGTTCCTCTATATATTACTGCTAATTTGTGTTGTGAAAAAAAAGAAAAGCTTCGCAACTTATTCATAAATTTAAGGGAGTGGATACTACTTGGTTTCATGACTTGGACGCTCAGCATTTTAGTTATGGGAAAACTCCGCAATTGGTTTGGTCACATAGCTCTGGGAGCTGAAGGGTATTTTCCTTTTGAATATTGTAGCCCTCACTTTGATGTTATTAATTAGAGGGTTATTTTCAAGTTTTTGTTTCATTACCTATTTTGTGTGAAAATGTAAATTTGTATGAACGAAGCAGTTAGAATAGATTCTTAAGGATTAGAAAAACATAAAATTACCACAGCCAGAAAAGTTCAGCAATTGTCCTTTGTCGTCTAGCATGTAATAAACCTATAGAAATGAAGAAAGATTACATACAGAAAAAGCAAATACTTTTTTAACATTCTACATAACAAAAACAAGATGACAAAACATTTGTTAATAGATGATACCACTTTACCAAAGCCATATATCGTGTTTCTAACTACATGTGAATACTTGAGAGAGAAACTTACCTTGAATTGTTTTCAATTGTTGAAGAATTATTAAATAGAGTAAGTTTGTGCTATACTAATAAATTTTCAAAGGAGACAAATTCATTGACTATGAAGCACAAAAACTCCTTCGATTAGGCATGTCCCAGTGTTGGACACACTTCAGTGTCCGACACTCTATCAGACCGTAAGACATGCTAATCTGTAAGAACATTAAAACTATATAGAACAAGATAAAGACACTGCAAATATTATAACGTACAAATAAGAGTCATTCAAAAATAAAATTACAAATAAGAAATTACCTTATTATCTATGCCACGAAACGAAGTAGTGTAAGGATTGGGATCATCAGCCTCATTAGTATGATTGTAGACAACATCCAAAATAACCTATGTATGAATAAGATTTATCGCAAGAGATATACAAATCTTGACATGATTTAAAATAAGACAGAATCAGGCTATCAAAATATTAAGCACGTTTCCACTCAAAGGTTGCTACAATGAAATACTACTATAATTACCTCTATGCTAGCAGAATGTAAGGCTTTAACCATTTGCTTGAACTCTTGGGAAGCATTAACTGGTCCTCCTCCAGCACTAGCATAGCGACTCATAGGAGCAAAGAAATTTATTGTTGAATAACCCCACGTATTAATCTTGGAAAGCAAAAATACAGATGTTAGTATCATATAATGCCACTTAGCAAGTAAAAGTTACATACTCTGATCTCTTTGATCATCAAAGAAAATACACATTACATACTCTGATCTCTTCATTCATCAAAGAAAAATAGATATGGATATACAGCCAGAAAGAATACAATTGTTTTTATATATTTGTTTATTAGGAATGGATCCTCTATATTTCTCCTTTCTATAGTTTTGGGGTGTATAGGGGAAATTTCAAGCTCGTCTAATATCACATTATCATGCTTTATTCAATAATCCGAATACCATAGTAATGGAGAAAATTGATAGAATGAGAAATGTAGAAGATCCATTCCTTTATTTACTGGGGATATACAGTACACATAAAAAAGTCCGTTATGAAGCCTTGACTTCAAAATAGAACGTAATACTTTTCTAATTTACCATGTGATCTCTAGGATTCGGACGCCTCTGCAATTCCAACTCATCAAACTCAAAGATAGGCAGCAACTCCACTGCATTGATACCAAGCTCTAGAAGATGTGGGATCTTATATGCAAGCAACAAAATGAGTTTAAATAAAGACATACAATAAATAGTAAGCATCAATCATATAGTAATTAATAAACAGCACAAATATAGTTCCTAAAGTTGGAGGTGGCATGCAACCACTAAACATCGATACACCTTATTAAGTTGAATACCCAATGATGGCAAAGATGTTACCTTCTCAATCACACCAAGATAGCTTCCACGAATGTTGTTATCCAATCCACTAGATTCATCCATTGTAAATGCACGGACATTCATCTCATATATAACAAGATCTTTCTGCATTTGCAGCAAGAGCATAATGAATCCATAAATTGGACTTACTTCATCTAGAAACATACAATATGCAGTCATATTCTCATCAACTAAAAAGGAAAAAAAAACACTAGAGATCAACATCAAGGTAGAATACAAAATCTACATATAGTTTTAAGCATAAAGCAATTTAGATGAAGCCTTGGTTTAGAGAAAAGATTTTATGAATATCATTTTCGAACAACTATCATTTATGCAGGCTGAATACCTCGGCAATATTTGGAAGCTTATAATTCTCTCCCCAGTCAAAAGGCAAGCTGTCAAAATCATATGTGCCCAGAAACTTAGACAACTTCTTGCTAATATCCCCAAAATATCTACGACCTTCAACAAGTTTTGCATAAGGATCAACAAGCACAATGCTTCTGCCAAACCGATGCCCCTTACCCCAGTCTTGAGATCCATCTATTCGATACCCGTACAAAACATTGCTCCCAGGAAGATCCTGCACAATGAGAGGTGAAAACAATATATTAACTAAATGTCTAAATGTGCATTTTGAATAGCTGTTCAGTGTTTGAATTAGAGAGAACCTGAGAATTCATTTTATTGATTGATGACAAAACGAATTCTTGTTACATGTGATGAGCCTCGGATCTATATTTATAGACTGGGCTAACACTAATAAACAAATACAGTCAGCATGCAACAGTTGTCACTGCTGTAACTAACTGAATTAACTAGGGGAGAAATGATCATATACAAGCGAGCCGTACACTCACATTTGGGAGGAGAGGAGTTTAGGGAGCTTTGTAACAGAAATATGCACAAACTCTGCATAATCGGAGCAATATTGAACTTGCATAAAATGGAAGAAATGAAAATATGGAGCCAACGAGCTTGTAGCTCAACAGGCATCAACATTAGCCTCTAAAATATAACAGCATTATCTAGAATTTGTGCAAGGTAAACTAACAACAGTCCAGGTAAAGATATCTTCGACAACGGAAGATGCTATTACAGTAATTGATGTTTTCCAATTTTAATACGCAATGTCTTCTTTAATGTATTTCCTTACCCATGTAAGTTTCTGCTTAATATCATAAAGGTGAGAAAAAATCTCATCAAATTTAAAATGGAAAATTTTATCTATATAATCATTATAGTAAGACTGCATGAAGTTTGATTCCAACTACTTTCAAAGCTTTTAATGAGGTGCATCGGTATTCAACTCAAAGACATCTCACATACTTCCATCCACTATTGTCAGAACATATAAGAGTAAAGGCAAATAGAATTCACATTTGACTAGCCAAGAGAAGTTTTTGGCACAAGAATAATACACTTGAAATAAAGCATAAAATATACAAAATTTATACTCAAATAGACAGAAAAGAAATGTTATTTATCTATGCAATTATGAAAGGTACTTGATAATTGCACAAATTGTATTTTTTTTAAGTAAGCTACAAAGCATATAGCAACAATTTCAATCAAAAACCATGGAAAGGCTATAATCAGGCACAGGCAGTATCACAGAAAGCACCTCAATACATATGTGCCAAACGTCCCCTGTTTTGTTTAAATGAGGGTCCAAAGCCAGTTCTATCATACCACCATCCAGTGTATCAATGCTTTCCCTAAAATACATTATAAAAACAAATATACATTGACAAATCAAAGATCTATCTCTTGACAAATCAAAGCAAAAATTTCAATCCTTAATAATCAAGATCTATCTCTTGACATATAACAGTTTTGAGCAAATATACATTGACAAATCATTGAGGGGAGCACAGATAAGGTTAGTTTCATGTTTGGTTCAGCTTACTTTCGGAAGCTTCTAGTGAGACCTTTTGTAATAGGGGGAAAATGATGGTTTTTGTCGCACACAAAAAGTGTTCCCCAGCAAGTTTTAGAAATTAAAGGTTTGTCACAAAAATGCTTGTATGTGGCTTAAATCAAATATGCCAGATGTATTTCAAACATATAAATTTTATTAAGCTTAAACCGAAACACAAAACTAAATCTAAATTTACCTTTCAGGAAGGACCAAACAAAGTGCGACAGCAGTTGCATGTTGTGAAAATATAGCAAAGTTGATCCCGTTGTCGACTTGTGATACACCTAATGGAAATGCTTGGCCTGGAGAAATTTCCCACGATGGTCTGGTCTCCATCACTTTGAAGGCTTCGTCCTAGAATCGCAAAAGGTAAGACATTGCGACACATGTAGATTAAAGTATTTGTACAGTGATGCTCTTTCACAAAAGATATGCAAAGTGTCGGTTAAGATAGCAGTAAAAAGCACAAGTGTAAACATAAGAAAACCGTTGAAGAATAAGGTAATGCTAGAATTTTCAAATATAAGTTGTAGCATAGTTGAAAGGGCACACAATTAAAAAATATATAATGTAGTTATATAATGAGGAAAAAAAGAAGAAAGAGTTATAAAAGACGGACCTACACATGGATGCCATATATTAGTTAAGTATATAATTTAGTTTTAAGCTATATACTTGAAACAAACACCAAGGCAGAGAAATCCGCAAATTCAAAAATTCATATGCATGGTCTTCATTGATTTGGAAAATGCATATAGTAGAATACCACCTAGAGAGGTTTTACGAAAGACTGCCGATAAGAAAAGAGCTCGGATTGCTTACATTCAAACAATTGAATGTGTTCAAAAGCACAAGATGGGAAAAATATAAAAGATTTTGTGATAACTATAAGAGTTGCGGAGAGACAACTCTGTATCTTTTCCTTTTGGTTCTAGATGTGCTTACTGAAGACAATCAGAAATGGTGCCAAGTTACATGTTCTTTAGAGTTAAAAGAAGAAGAAACTTAGAAGCTAGAGATATGTAGACAAGCTTAGAAATATGGTGACATTTTATTGCATCATTTCTACCCCCTCTAAATTTTCTTTTTCTTTTCTTTCAAAAAGTTGTTAGATTTATAAATATCAACAACTTGTTTACGTTAATGCATTGTGGCCAGAGATTGAACACTAGATCAGCGGTACAAGACAGAGGCATTAATGATATAAATACCTTATGCACCTCTTGTTGAGCATTAGCATTAGTTGTCCTAACCTATGCCAAAATTTTCAATCAAAATTCACACCAGAAAAAAACAACTCAGTAAGATTACTGAAATGCATTAGTATTAAGGATTTATAGTTATTTACCTCACTATTATTCGATTTGCTTCCAGATGCTTGCATACTAAACTTCAACCTAATGATAGGAACAAAAGTGAAAACCTAAAATTGTTACTAATTATAGTAAAATAAGAAATGGATGTAAAATTGAAAGTGAATTACCGGATATCACGGCGAGAGAAATTTCCGGCAAGGGAAGTGCGTCCGGGATTGTTGGCGGTGGCGGAGAGAATCGAAGCGAGGAGCGGTGTTGGTTGAGCGGCGGTTCTTGAACGGTAGAGTAATGGATGGTGAAGCATTGTTGAACAGAAGTGTTGTTATTTGCACATTCAGAGTGTTTGTGTTGAGTTGAGGTGTAAGCTCTAGAAATGATTCGAAACGAGCAATGCTATATTCATGGCTGCCACGTGCCGGGAAGATAGATATCTTGCACATCTTTCCAAATTTTCATCAATTTTTTTTTCAATTTTTGATCGGATGAATTTTCAGGAATTTTCTAATAAATAATTGATTGTGTGAATTTTATTTTAAGATAAATTTCATTTATTAAAGTATACTAATTATAGATAAATTCTAATTATTATATGTTAAAATGATAGAGAATAAAAGTAGTGTAGAAACGATGTAAAGCAACTTTACCCATATAATTAATTAAACTTTTAAAATTTATCATATCATATTAATGTTTTAAAAATTATTTAATTAAATTAAAATTATATAAAACAAGAATATGTAACTGTTTGACCACTCTTTCGTCATATTCTTCATTATTCTCTATTTTTTATATATATCTCAAAAAGAAAATGAGATGCTGTCAGATCTGAATTTTTTTTTTTGAATAACCATGTATTAAAAAAAACTGCAAATAACTACGTTTCGGAAAAAATTACGCAAATAACCATATTTCAGATGACTCCCTGTTTCCAATGATTTCTGGTAAACAACCGTTAGTCTTCCAAACTATCGAATAATCTTTCTGACTGTTATTCAATTCCTCTGGTAACTCATAGGATCGACTAGATTGATCCTAGGACTCCTTGGATATTAAGGTTACTCTCACGATCGAACAGATATTCATGGTTGATATTGTATATGTGTTTGGCCTATTTCGACTTCTCTCTCTAAAAGTTTAAAGATGTAATCAAAATGTGTGTGAAAACTAAATTACATGAATAAATGCTAATTGTAATGCTAGTTGTAAAGACATGTAAAACTGCATAAAAGTGAAGTAAATGGTTTCGACTTACAAAATAGTTAATGTAAAGGTTTTCTGGAACGTAAAAGGTTTGAAATATGAAGAAAGCGTTTAATGCAAGAAATCTTTAAATGACTTTAAGTAAAAATATGCGTTCGAAAGATAAGACTTGAAGGTAAAGGTATGGAAAATATGACAGTTTTCTGAGATATGAAGTGCTTGAAATATGAAGAAAACATTAAAATATAAAACTTTGAAGAAGAGATTTCGAAGTGAAAAGACTGTAAATAAGAAAACTTGTAAAGGTTATTTGACAAGAAGGATAAAGGAAAGTACTGGAAATGGTAAAAGGTTTTCATTAAATCAGAAATACATGGTGCTATCATACATACATTTCTCTTGCATTCGTTTCCCTTGCCATGTGGTAGTTTGAATGTTATTGAGTATTTTGTATAATAGATATGACACACGAAATCCTAATACTAAGACTTCTATTTATACTAATTCGACCATAACGGTCTTGCTATAGGATTATGCCACGTTTAGAACATGCAGGACAATGCCTCTTTCATCTTTCCACGTGTCCCCAAATGCTCCAACACATAACTTTCAAACTTCGAAAGTCCCGCTTCCATTTGAATTTCAAATGCTTTGGTGCTTCTCCGTTTCGAACGCTCTTCCAGACACAGCCTTGTTGTTATTTCGAGACTTCTTTAGATATGTTCCCATAATTGCCACTCGAAGCTCCAAGCTTTGACACACTTATTCGAAACACTGCTTCTGCTACTTCGAAACATGACGTTTTACCTCATTTCGATCAAAACGCTTAATTCATTTGGCTTCTAATAACATTATCAAAATCTTCAGCCAACAAATTGCCCCTTTAAAATATGTATTTCGATTCCTCTGAGAAATACCTATTTTAAACACCTACACAAGATTTTGATGGGACTTTCGAATCATCGTAACATTTAATGCATTTGACTCCAGTCACGTCAATCATAGCACCTTTTGGATTCCTTAACCGCCTGGAGCCACTTCACAGCGTGGTGCAGTTACAAATAATAATTATCTTTAAATCACGCCTATTACCTATGTTAACTTCACGCCACCTCTTCATCACACCAACCCATGATCTCCACGTATCACACCTTTATTCGGTGGATGCTTAAACTTCCCATTTTAAAACATCAACTTAATCTTCTTCTTTTCTTTTCACACTCTAAATCTTTTACACTCCAAATCTTTTATCCTCCTTCTCTCGTAAAACAATCCAAGCTTTCAACATCTTTCAAAAATGTCTTCTTCTACTTCATCCCAACTCAAGAAAGTCTCCAAGAAGAAAGGAAAAACTGCAGGAACTACCATGGAAAGTAAAATCATCACTCTCCAAGGTCAATCCGCTCTTGCCCCTCAGATGATTTCAAAGGAAAAAGAAATGTTGTATGCGTCACAGGTACTCATTCCTACCAACGTTGCTGGTAAGAGGTTAGCTTTAAATGGTCCTCTTACGGTTTTTAAAATATTAAAAGACACCAGGACGATTTTCCCAGTTTGTTATAGCTTCAAACCCTTATTTAACAAAATGGATGCCCCTAAGGCAATAGAATCTCCTAGTTCAAATACCATAGAAACCCCAACTGTTCCTCCTAAGGACCCCTTTGTTTTGGATTATGTAAAAAGCAATTTTAAGCCATTTCGATCTTGCCCCACTTCTGATATTGCTTATCAAAATTGGTTCACGAAAGTAGAAGCTAAGAAATCCCAGCAATGGGAAGAATTAGGCATCTATAACCTGATTAAGCTATCGAAGCCTGGTTTCACCTACAGCCACCCTCTGCTATTCGCGTCCCTTTATTTCTGGGATAGTACCTATAACACTTTCCATCTCCCAGGTGGAATGATCACCCCAACCTTCTTCGACATAGCGGCCATCACTGGGCTATCGCCAGTGGGAGAAACTTATATACCCGACAACGAAGAGCACTCAAGCATAATTGACTTCGAAGTCAAGCTAGCCAGTTTTTCCAAATTTATCAGTCATTACCATGCTGAGGGGGATAATGTGTCTGACGTAGAGCACATTGCTTTCTTAACCCTGTGGCTGTCAAGATACGTCTTCTGTAGTAGATCCCTACAGGTAGCTAGTAGGTTCATTCCTCTAGCCAGGGACTTGCATGAAAATCGGAAAGTGTGCCTAAGTGAACTGCTCTTAGTTGACCTCTATGAAAGCCTGAGGTCAGCTGTTTCGAGCCTCAAATCCCACACCTCCAAAAATATTCTATTGGCTGGCCCCTTTTGGTTACTCCAACTATGGCTAAATGCCATGTTCGAACCCTCCTTATCAACCGCCAACACCATTGATGAGCAAGATTCTGAGATAAGTGATAGGATAGTCGAAGGCACTAGGCTTCGAAGATTAACTCCCAATGACGACAAAGATGACTTCAAAGTTCAATTCTCGAAGTACATCATGATATTCTCCAAAAGGCACAAGTTCGAAGAGAGCATGGCGCCTTTTGTTTCGAGGGCTCATGGACCTTCTTGGTTCACCATGGCTCTCTCAGAAGCTATCAAGAGCAAGGAGATTCAGGATGTATGGAGAGCTTTTTTGCTGCCTAGACTCATTTCTTCAAGAATAACCCCAGCCAAGAACCAAATTTTTCTCTTTGCCTACCAACCAAACTTCGTTTCGAGGCAGTTTGGCTTATGCCAACTGATTCCTGAACCTTTATTTCAAACTGAGAGCGCCATCACTTCTGGACGAACTTTCAAGGCACGGGAAGCCAAAATACAGCAAGAACAATATCAAGGCTTTGCCCAATTTGAGCTGATAACCTTCGAACCTACCCATCTCGCGGCTAAAGGATTTCTGGAGTGGTGGATCAAGTTTTATCAAACTTATATGTTCGATACACTTACAATTCGACAGAAACTAATTGATGCCTTCGATGTGCAGGTACCAACAAAGAAAGGTATGTTTACTCATGCCAAAGAGATTAAAGCTTTCCAAAATTATTTTGAAACTACTTACGACCCCACGCGCTTGGACTCCACTGTGCATCAAGCAGCTGAGACCTTGAAGGAAAAATTTAAACAAAAAGTTTCTAAGTTAAAACTTCCTTCAGGGTTGTCACCTGAGGATAGGTATAGGTTGGCATTCGAAATGCATCCACCTAAATTTCCCAGATTACCTACCTCAGAACTGGCTCTGGCTTGGTTTCCCCTATATCCATGGTGGTTTACTTGCAAAGAGATGTTCAAATATCTTCAAAGGAAACCAAAGCCATCTGAGACTGTGACATGGGCTCGATATTGGCTTCATGATTTCCCAGGACACCTTCGATACGACCTTTCTGCCATGTCAATTAAATCTGATCAAGGCACAGGTGCGAATGCTTGGGAAAATCCCAAATGTCTTTTATTTTCCATATCTTTAACCTTTGCTTTAATTGTTTCGATTTTCAGCTATCAGGATAAAGACAGCTGCCTCGAAGTTGAAGGAAGGGAGTGCCTCTCAAGCCTCCATCGAAACTACCGACAAAGTGACTCCACCCGAAACAGCCACTACTGCTGCAACCACAACAACAACAATAATACCAACAACAACCAGTGTTCCAATTCCAACGGTAATCACTTAGCCTTGATGTTTCGAATTCACTCATGCTTTATGGTTTACATCTAACTCTTAGTTTAAAATTCTTTCAGACCAACAAGCTCCCTCCTACTACTCCCAAGAAGCGGAAATCAAGCACCACTGGGGGAGACCCCAAGGCTGGAGGAAACTTAAATACTGCTTCGAAGAAGAAGCCAAAGAAAGATATTTCGAAAAGTGACGTTCCAACTAGCGTCTCTGGACTTGATTCCAGGGATGCTGCTCCCTCACCCAAATCCAAAAATCCACCTTCGACCTCCAACCCAACGTTGGAACGTATAGTTAGTAACCTCTCCTCTGAGAGTCCACAGGTAAATCGAACCTTTACAATTTTTTACAATACTAACTTCTTATTACCTTAGTGAATTTTTTCCTTAACACTCTGTTGTTCCTTGCAGAACATCTTGAATCCAGCTTCCACTATTTCGATCTCACCATCCAGAGTTGCT